GACAGGGCTACACGTCCAAGGATGGAGTCAAGTGTGGGATGCCCACAGAGCAGGGAGCTCCCGTCCCGTCTCTAAGACTAACTGAACCCCTACTACGCTCCTGAAAACTCTGCCATCTCCTTTCAGTCCTCCCAGGACGAGGCAGTGGGGTTACAGGTGAAAAAAGAGGCTCAGACAGCCAGATATTGACAGGTCACATGGCTGCCCAGGGCACCTTGGCCATTCCAACTCCAAAGCCCCACGCCTTCTCCAGGGTGGAAAACTCAGGTACCCGGGGACCACGCAGGTAACGTGAGGAGCAAAGCCACTGCAGCCACCCTCAGGACACATCAGCCCAGGGGTTCCAGCACTGCCAGATTTGGGTTTTTCCTCCAAGAGAACACAGACAGTAAGAATTTTAGGTAGAATTCTAGTTTTTATTTTTCTTTTGGACATTGGCAAACACATCACAAGTGTTTTAATGCAGCGAACAGGGCAAAGAAAAAAGGTGTGGGCAGATTTGCGCCCTTTAATGACCCTGTATTGTCTGGGTGAGGAGCATGCTGGGGGTGGGGGGTCTCAGGATGGCTTGCCTTCCCCATCCCCGGCCAGCAAGAGCCCCTGGAACCCAGTGGCATCTCCCCGAGCCCCTCAAGACACCCCCAGCCACCGCCTTCGCTGCCAGAGGCAGGAGGCAGGGCCCGAGCCCCACGAGGGCACCACCCAAATAGCTATAATCAGCAGCCTCGCCAAGACTTCAAACTCACCCAATTATCCTGCGAGGGAAAAAAAACACAAAATGAAAACAAATTAACATGTTTGCATAGAAGCCGCTGCAGCAACACACACAGACGCGCGCACGCATGCACATGCTGGCGCATGCCCCAGCAAGGCTGGGAGACGCCGCCGCCACCTCCGCTCTCCAGGCCTGGCACCCACCTGGACCAAAATGCGGGAGCAGGCCTAGCGGCCAGCTTGTCCCCAGACCTGACTGGGCACTGACTCCCTCTACCAGCTTTCAGTTTTTCATCTTTTCAATTTAATAAACACATTCAATTCATTGTGTGCCAAAATTCCACTGCACCAATCTGTGAGGTAGGTATATTATGAGCCTCTTTCTACAGATGAGACAGCTGAAGCACAGAGAGGTTAGTTGCCCTGCCTGAGGCTGCACAGCTAGCACGTAGGGGAGCCAGCTGGGGATTGAACCCAGACAGGCCACTTCCAAAGTCCCTGCCATGACCACTGCGCCTTCTCTGTGGCTCCATCTTGCCTGTGGGTGGTGTGCCAAGGCCTCAGTCTGCCTTCGAGGCCCCTCCTAACCCCTCCAGCCTGTGTCCACTCTTCCCTTGCCTACGCCACCCAAACAGCCCACTCTTACCCTACAGGCTGGCTCTCCTCAGGCTGAGGGGCTGTTGGTGTGATGATGATTACTATGGAGCCAGGTGAATGTGGATTCAAATACCTGCTCCACCAGTTTCTCACCAGATGGCTTTGGGCATGTAGCTTTGCTTCTCTGTGCCTCAGGTCTGCCCCCCTACTAAAATGGGATAACCAAGGTGAGAAAGATTCTGCAGGCGAGTGGCTACCTGCAAGGTACTACCTCTGGCGCCTGCCCAGGGGTGAGAGGGTTCCTCCAGCTCACACCGTTCATTTAGTGCCACAAGGCCCACCTCATCAGACTCACCGAACCCCTGTTGGTGCCTTTGGGCTCCATGCCAGGCGCCGCACTTGCCCTCAGGACACACAGACAAGGAACTCAGATACTCCTTTTTCTGGGAAACAGCCTGTCCTTGGAAGGACCCCTCTTCTGTGGGCCCCCTGAAGCTCTGTCTGACCCGGGATTGGGGTTGCGTGGGCGTGTGTCTGATCATCTTGGCCGTGTTTGATTTTTCTCTGGGCTCCTGCAGCTTGGCACACCACAGGTGCTCAGGCAGGGTTTGGTGACTGCACTCGTTGGAGCATCTCCTCTCACTCTCAAGGCACATTTGGGGCCTTGTGCCTGGTATTAAAGGATAAACTGCTGGAAGGAATTGGGGTTTAAGTCCTGGGGTTCAAGGATCCCCGGCCTCCTCCCCTGCTGCTGTGTGACCGTGGGCAAATCGCTTCACCCCTCTGAGCCCGTCACTGTCATCTCCTGGGGTGAGAGCTGGGCGGGCAGTTCACGAGTGCTACACTGCACGTGTTCATCACCACTTCATCCTCACGACGGCTGGTGAGGAAAGTGTGGTTTCTACTTCCATGATTCATATGGAGAAACTGAGTCCCCAAGGGACTTGGTGGCTTACTCAAGACCGCCCTGCTAGTGAATAGCAGAGCCAGGGTTCAAACTGAGTTCTGGGTTTTTGCCTTAGCTGAGGTGCTGTTTCGCCCTTCCTAGACACTGTCTGTCAGGAGCCAGAGGGGCAGTGCCTTGTGGGTCTGGAGAATGAGGGCTACTAGGATGCTGTGGTGGTGGCGGGAGGGGTAGCTTAACTGGCTGCAGGATCACCCCTTTAGCATGCTGGGGAGGTGACCCAGCGCCTATCCCAGGAGCAGCTGGTCCTGTGGGACATTGGGTGCCCACTCGGAATCCAGCCCTCCCACAGCACAGCCATGCCCTGGACTTTAGAGTCCAGCAAACCTAGTTCACATCCTGACCCCACTAGGTGCAAATCCTGTTCCTCTCGGAGCCTCTGCCCCTGCTGGAGAATGGGAGGCATGGATGTATTCACACTCAAGAGAAGGGCTTCCAGCTCCATGTGAACTGAGGCGTGGCACCTGGCACACAGTTGCTGCTCAGTGAAGCCACCCCCTGCCCAGACCTCCTGCAGGAGTGGCCTCTCCCTTATCCATGGAGCCCTGGAGCCTCCATGACACAGGCTGGGGGTGGGGCTTGTGTTGCCTGGTGGGTGACGCTGGGCCCAGAGGAGGCTCTTGCCCCTTCGCTGCTAGCCCTGCCCCTCTGGTCTCTGAGGCCTGGGTGTTCTGGGTGTGTGGAGGGGTTTGTTGGGTTGAGGCGGCAAACTGCAGGGAAAAGAGCAGAGAGAGACCCTGGAATGTGAACCTGGACCCTGCAGGGAGTGTGGGAAATAAAGGTCCCAGCCCAGCTCTCTGTCTGTTCAGGTGGGATTTATTGAGCATCTACTGGCCTTGGAGCAGAAAGAGACCAGAGAGACCAGAGACCACAGCCTTCTCACTGCTGTACACCCTGGGCAAGCCACACAGTCTGTGGACACAGCCTTCTCACTCAGGGCTGTGGTCACATCACAGTACGAGGATGTTTGTTACTCGGTGGTTGAGAGTGCAGGTCTAGAGCCCCCCCCACCAACCCCTGGGGGTAGGGCAAGGGCCACGTCCAGTGGTCATCGTGAAGCTGTGTACAACCCCCTCACACCTATGCTTCTGAGGCTCTGAGTGCAGAGGCTGAGGGCTGGGTGGGGGGAGGTTCTTTCCCCCTCATTACGAAAATCATGTTCATCTTTTAGTATTTGGAAATAAGTCTGACAAAGAAAAATTCAGCCGACATCTAACTGCCCAGAACTAACACTTGGTCCCATGTGGGAACATTCTGCCCAGGTGCTGGGCATTCGGGGAGTGTCTGGCCCCAGGAAGGGCCGCTCTGTGCTAAGCCTATCCTGGGCTACTGGGCGTCACCTGCCCGCCCGCCTGCCTGCCCAGCAGCCCATTGTCTGGCATGTGGGGGCGCGGAGCAGCCGTTGTTCTGCGCACATCTGATCCCGTCTTTTCCACATCAGATCATTTGTAACCGTCACCAGGCAATCGGGCCCATTGCTGATTCCATCTCGGCTTTGTGCTGTCACAGCCGTTTTTCTGCGCCGGGCTGATTTTGAAAGGAGACCCATCCTCTGGGCCCACTTTTCAGAAGGAGGGGAGGTGGGTGGGGGGAGCTCTGTGTGTGTGTGTGTGTGTGTGTGTGTGTGTATATGCAGGACACATTCCCCACACACATGTATACACACACAAACACATTCCACTGCTACATCTCATCACCTAGAGTAGAATTTGGAATAAGGTAGATGGATAAGGGCCTCAGGCCAGGCCCGTTATCCCCACCTCTGTCCCTGACCACCTGCCAGAGAGTGCCTACTGGGTGCCCCATCGTGCAGACACAGTAGAACCTGCACTCTGGTGGAAGAGACAGGCACTAACCACTCATCAAGATAATTTCGGAGCAGTCATGACAGTGAAGGAACTGCTGTGGTGACGGGACAGTGGCCAGGGCAGAAGGTTGCCAGCTTGACCAGGTGGTCAAGGAGGGTCTCTCAGAGGAGGTGATGTTTGAGCTGAGGTGTGAATGGGAAACGGAGCTGGCATGGAGAGTGGGGGAGGGGTGTGCACTGGGGACAGTGTGGTGTTGCACTGTCCACAGGTGGCATTGAGCGTTTGCAGTGAGGCAAGTCTGAACTGAACTGAGATGTCCTATTGGCGTAAAATTCATCCCAGGTTTCAAAGACTTGGAATAAAAACAAGAACATAAAATATCTCAGGAATTAATTTTAATATTGATTACACATTGAAGTGATACTATTTTGGATCTATTGGGTGAAATAAAATATATTATTAAATTTAATTTCCTCTGTTACTGCTAGAAAATTTACAAGTACATATGAGGCTCCTGTTATTACATATTTCTATCAGACAGCAGTGGTGTAGGGTATTTAGGTAGAGGGAAAACCATAAGTGCAAAGGCCCTGGGGTGGGGCCGGTGTTGGCCTGTGAGAGGACCAGAAAGAAAGCCAGTGTGTCTGAGCAGAATCAGCACGGGACAGGGACAGTGCAGATACACATTGGGAAAGGGATTCACACAGGTCCTTCAAGGATATTGTTAGAAATGCCACGGAAGACTGGCGGAATGGCTCATACCTATAATTCCAGCACTTAGGGAGGCTGGGGTAAGAAGATTGCTTGAGGCCAGGAATTCGAGACCAGCTTGGGCAACATAGCGAGATCCCATGTCTACAAAAAATAATGAGCTGGGTGGGGTGGTGCCAGACTGTAGTCCCAGCTGCTTGAGAGGCTGAGGCAGGAGGATCACTTGAGCCCAGGAGTGAGCTACAGTGAGCCATGATCATGCCACCGTACCCCAGCCTGGGTGACAGGGCAAGACCCCATCTCTAAAAAAGAAACAAAATGCCACGGAAGCCAGTAAGTGAGCTCTAAGCAGGAGAGATGTGTGCTACACACAGAAAGGCTTGGTCTGGCTCCCATGGGGTAGAGATTGGTGGCAGGGGGACGATGGGGCACAGGGACGGGCAGGAATCTGTTGTAGAAGAGTCACTGCCGGGACCTGCTGGTGAATTGGCTCCACCGGATCTGGCTCTGCAGAAAGCTCACTGCTTCCTTGGCTCCTGGATTTCCAAGCCGCTGGGGCTTCCTGTCTCTCCCCACGACCCGTCTCCACCTCCCCAGCAGCTGTTCCCTGTCATGTCAGTGCATTTACAATGAGCGCCAGTCTCCTGTCTCCAGGTGGTCAGAGGTTGAAATCCCTTTTGAAAAATTCTTTTAAAAAAAAAAGAAAAGAAAGAAGTGATGCTAGTTCATTGTGGAAAAATTAGAAACACAGAGAAGCACAAAGAAGAAAAAGAAAATTCCCCAGAGTTAACCATCAGTCGCTAGGCTATGACAGGGGGAGGGGGTTGAACCCAGGCGGTCTGGCTCCAGCACTTTCTAAATCAGAGTGCCTGTGGCCGGATGACATGGAGGGAGCTCCCTGACCATAGGAGGAGTTAGAGACATGACGCCCCTTTACCCTCACTCACAGAAGAGGTGGAAAGCTGGAGACTAGTCCACATATAGGTGGTGAGTGGCGTTTGACTCTTGGAGATTTAAATAAAACAAATATTGAGAGAGCTCGTGAACTCTGGGATGTGGAGTGATGGCGCTGTCATTTGGGCTGAGTGTCCTGTCCTGTTTCCTAACCCCTACCTTGAAGGCTCCGTTCATTTCTGCCCCAGCCTGACCCCCAGAAGCATCTACTGATCTTAGCATTGGGCTAAAAGCTAAGGCCAGCCCCTGCCTGTCACTTTTGTCCACTCTCCTCCCCTGACCTGGGCCACTCTCATCTTTTAAACACTCTTGGGCCATTCTTGCACACAGACCCGGTCTTCTTCGTCCCCGTCCCTTGCGACCTGAATCCTCAAACCCGTCTGGCCCAGGCCAACCTCTTCCGTGGGACTTTCTTGCCTGCTCCACCAACCAACCAGCCCCGTGGCCCTGGATAGCTCCTTTCCCTCTCTGTTTCCTTGTGGGTACAGTGCCAATCATGTCTTTCTCCCGGTTGTGGCGTAGGTTACGTGAGGTGATGTCTGTAAAGTACTGAGCCCATGGAGAACACTAAAAATAAAAGCTAGCTCTTATTATTGCTCTTACTATTAGATTTTTCTCCTTCCCTGTTGCCTGCTTTAACCCTGAACTGTGGGTGCAGGGACTGGGGGAATAGGTAGGAGGAAGGCTGGAGATACCGGGCCCCTCCCATCTCCACTGTGGGTCCTACCTTTGCCCGTTGCACACAGTGTTCCATTTTCCGGGATCCCAGAGTCATCTGGTGGCATCCCTCCTTCCCTCTTTTGGTCTCCATTTCCATGTTGTTTCTCCAGAGATTCTAGGACCACCTCTAAAAAACAAAACTGGGCGGGGGGCTTTTGGCTGAGCTCCCAGCCCCATTATGGCATCGTAGTACTGAAGCTGTTCAGTATCGATTCTCAGATCTCCCCACTCCCTCTTTGCTGGAAGGTGACGATGGAGTCTTACTTGACTGACAATTTTAATTAAAGAGCCAAGGCTGGAACTGGGAGAACAGAGGCTCAGCCTGCCCCTGCTCCAAACTTCGCACCTTGGGATCTCTGGCTCTCCGGAAAGAGTAAAACTGCCCCTCGGAGGTCTGTGGCTCTGGGAGAGGGCCAGCCAGGCCCGTTGCCAGTGGCAATGACTGCCCCTCCTCCCAGCACCTTCTCTGAGTCCCTGTCCTGAACCAGCACTAGTGCAGAGGAAACAGATCTCCCCGCCGTGAGGTTGGTGGGGGGTCCCTGCCTGGCCCTGCATAGATGAGGTGCTCTCAATGACTCACCAGGAGGGTTTGCTCTCCAGCAGCCTGGAGCTCCTTCATGTTCTCTGTTTGCTCCTCTCTCAAGTCTCCATGTGGTGGCCTGTGCAGTCCCTTCTGTGGGATCCTCCCCTTTCGCTGGCTTTTTCCTACTTACCTGTTAATAACAACTGTAAACAGTGCTGACAACGGGTACCACTTAGGCAGCTACCACAAGGACCCTGGCACTTTGTTGTAAGGAATTAACCCCTTTTGCAGATGCGGAAACTGCGGCTCAGAGAGGAGGGAGGGATTTGCCCAAGCTCACAGAGTTAAGTTATAAAGCTCACACATCCGGATGTGAAGTCGGGGACAGACACTGTCTGAGGCAGCTGGTGTGTCCTTCCATCTTGACCCTCCCACCACCAGGCCAGGTAGGGTGACCCCATCATGGCCACCGCTTGTCTCCCTGCCTTGTGATTACCCCTCTGATGCCTCCCATCCACTCAGGGTCTGTCACTGCCCCAGCATCTAGCACAGGGCCTGGCCTGGCACATAGTTGGTGCTTAATCTGTCATGCCATCCCCAGTGGTTGGAGTGCTGACGGAGGCTCATTGCAGTTGTCAGTTCCCATGGCGACTGACATCACTACGCGCTCAGGCTGTGCCCCGCCCCTTTCTCCAGGGCTCCTGCGCCGGGAGCTGGCCGTGGTGCTGACAGGCCCAGGAATGGCCACCCACCCCCAGACCCCAGCCCTGTGTCCCAGTAGGACACTTCCTGAGGCCCGCCCTGCCCTGACTCCCCAGGACAGCCTCTTGCCCATCCTTTGTTCAGGAGACATTTTCCTGAGGGCCCCTGTGCTCAGCTATAGCACCTTGAACCCACAGAGGAAGGATCAAGGAGAGCCACATGGGACTCCAGTCATTTGATGATTCAGCAAACATTTATTATGCACCTTGTATGTCTTAGAGAAGCCCTCAGGAACCCGGACTCCAATTGAAGGTCGAGTAGAGTTTTAAGGGGTAGAGAGCCAGGAAGAACTGCTCAAAAGCCCTTTCTGGCTCTTGGGATTGCATGGGCAAAAGCCTGCAAGCGTGCCGGTGAGAGGCTTGTGCAGAGGGAAGCCCACCTCAGGATTCTGGCTGCCAGCCAGAACTGGTGATTGTCACTTTACTTTTTGGTCTCCCCTTTGGCTCAGAACTACTGGCATCTCTGGCTCCAGTGCCCAGCCCAGAACCAGGCACAATGGAGGGGCGTTGGAGCCAGGCAGGGGATTGGCATCTTTGTCCTGGGAACCAAAGAGCCAGGTATGCTCTGTGACCAGATTCGCAGCATTTTAGAGAGCCCCTGGCCTGCTGGTGGGCAGGGGGTGGATACAGTGGTAATCCTGGCAGAAGATGAGGCCTCTTATTCAAGGGGACAGTCCCTCCCCAACCCCAACCTTAAAAAAAAAAAAAAAAAAAGTAAAAATCCCCTTCTGGTGCTGAGGCCCAAATAGCAGTGGGAAATAATCACTTTTCACAGGCCCCTTATCCACAGCCAAGCCCTGTGCCAGTTTAATCAGCAGTGCCGGTGTGACTTGAAGAATCCCCGGCTTGAGAGATCAGGAGAGGGGTTAAAGAAAATTACCCTCGCCTCCTCCATGCTAATGTAATCTCTAACCAGATCTGCCTAGCCGCAGCTCAAATTGCTTTTTAGATTAACATTTAATTATTAACAGGGTCCCTTGGAAGGCCTCCGGCTCAGAACAGAGATGGGGGAGGGAGCCGCAGGAGGGAGGTGGGGATGGGCTTCCACTCTGGCTGCCTTGCTGAGACAAGTAGGGTGGGAGAGAGAGGAAGGAGCAAGGGAGAGGGGTCAGGAAGGGAGAAGGGAGGCATCAGGACAGGAGGCAGATGGAGCTAGGGACAGGGATGTAGACAGAGGAAAGGAAAGAGACAGACAGTGGATCTTCCTATCGTGGGATCCCCACAGGGGGTTGGGGGAAGCTTGCACCTAGATTCCTGAGGACATTCCTGGGCTGGGCAAGGGTCCCTCCACTCTTCTGGCCAGAAGCAGGTTTACTGCCCCTCGCTATTTAGAGAGGACTGGACTTTCTGGGGCTTTCTTCTTGTTCAGCTCATGGTGCTAGGGACCAACACAGAGAAGTGACCCATTTAGGGCCACATCGCCAGGGTCTGACCCCAGTATTCCCAGTCCAGCATTCATTCTCTTCCCTGGGCCCTGGGCCTCCCACCACCACTTCAGGCTCCTGTGTGCCTTTGGGGCAGGCTGCGTGGCCGGGCAGTGTGAAGAGACTTGAATTACAGCCAAAGGGATGGAGGTGAGAACTGCGAGAGGGCTCCCTCACCACCCACCTATCCTGCCACCACCCCCAGGAAGGCTGCAAGGCCCTGAGGAGTAGCCGGCATCTCATTCATTTCCTGAAAGGAAATTCAGAGTCTGAACCATCTACTCTACTCCTTGCATGAACTGCCGAGTTTTGCCAGCTTCCTGTCTTGTCCCTGCTTGAGATTCTAAGTCCCTCAAAGACAAGGGCTACATCTAGAGCCCTTTTGTGTGCCCACAGGTCAGGGACCGCCCCACGCCTTGCACACAGCTGGATTAAGTTTGAAAAATAAGTGGTTGCATCCTCTTATGTCCAAGCTAGATGGCCCTCGTACTATCAGCTGATCCATTCCCCATAAAGGTTCATTTGGGAAACAGACTCAGAGAGGTGCTATGACTTCTCCAGGTCACCCAGCCAGTGAGAGCCCCAGTTATCACTGTGCCCCTGCCTGGCAGGTACAACCCAGAGTCCTCTGGGGCCAGCTCTCTTCTCTGAACTAGTCCTGTTGGACACCAGGAAGGGCCTGGCATGACCTTCCCCTCCAGGTCACAGCTAGGCTTTGGCCTTGAATGGAGCCACAGAAGCCAGGTAGGTAGCTCTAGGGATTGGAGGTGGAGGAGGAGATGGGGGCTCAGAGGGGCACAGCCCATGGCTTTCCCGGGGTCACAGCCTCAGGGCCCTGCTGTGAAGTCAGGTGTGTCCTCCTATTCTGCCTTGGGGTCAGCCCAGGCTGGCAAGGGGCAGACTGCTGACCTGCGGACACGTGAGGGAAAGTTCCAGATGCCTGCCACATCAGGAAAATGCTGGAGGCAGAGAGAGGTCAAGATCATTCATTTTAGTGGGAGGTCAGTTCTGGCTAGATGTTCCTTTCTGGCAGGACGCTTTGAGTAATTTCTGTTCTCCCAGTACATGGCACAGGGCTGGCACCCAAAAGATGTTTGGGAAGTGTTTGCTGCCTAAATGAATGAATGGTGGGTAAGAAGCAAGGCCTGGGCTTTACTCACCTCAGTGTTCTGCCCAATGCCAGCCTCATGAGTTGCGCTCCTTGAATGTTTATGGGATGAATAAGTGGACTCTGGGAGCCCTTCCCCTCCTCTCACCCCTTGCTTCTGTGATCCCTCCCACAGTAGAATCAAAATGGATTTGGGTCCTGGGGAGAAGTAGACCCTTGCTTCCATCCCTTCCTGCCCAGCTGACTGGGAGCTGAGGGCTGACGGGCGCCCAACCACAATGGAACTGCTGGACAGTGTGGGGCTGAGGGTCTGACTGGCGCTGGCATCCTTGGGCTCTGCTATCTAAAAGCTGTGTGACCTTGCACAAATTGCTTCCCCTCTCTCTGGCCATTTCCTAAGCTGTGAAATGGGGCCACAGAGGTCACGAGGAGGAGGTGCATGGGCTTGGCACAGAGGTCAGTCAATACATGCTGACTGTATTGAGCCCCAATTCCATGCTGACTGTACTGAGCCCCCAATTGCATGTTGCTGTTTCAGAGCTTCCCCTCCCACTGACCCGTGGGCTCCCTGATGCCCCCTGCAGCCAGACAGGCAAGGGCAAGATGACAAAAGGCAGGCAGGGCCCAAGGCCCCAATTCCCTATTCTTTCCATAAAAATAGAGACAGCCTTCTCTCATTCATTGTTCTGCTAAGGCGAGCATCACAGACTCAATTCCTCCTCGGACCTGGAAAGTTCCTTCCTTCCTTTCCCCTCCCCTGTCACATTTCCTTTATCTAAATCCTCAGCTATGAAAGGACACATCGACAGCTGGGGGCGTTATCTGGTGGAGGGGACCTTTTCCTTGGGTGTCTCCGAGATAAGGCGTCTTATCAGCCCCCATGTCAGGGAAGGTGCCAAGCATTCTAATCATTGAGGCATGCGACATTTTCCCCCTCCCTGCTCCCCTCCTTTTTTATTAAAGTCACAAAAGACCTTGAGCTTATAAACAGTCTGATTTGCAGATAGGGTTTCAAAATGAACAGCACTTCCTGGATGGTGCTTGGCCAGGGGGGTAATGAGTCCAGGTGGGGGCTCTGAGAGGCTGGCCTCCGGCAGATGGGATGATGCCAGGCAGGGAGGGGGCAAGGTAGGGTCACAGAAAGAACATGAGTGTCTTAGGCATATGCCTCAGTCCTGTCCCTGCCTTGCTGTGTGACCTTGTTTGGGACACTTGGCTTCTCTGGGCCTAGGTCACTTTATTGGACAATAACCAATTCATTGATTCGGCCATTCATTCAACACTTTTTATTAAATGATTATTCTTGCCAGGCACTGGGGAGAGACAGACAAATAACACACGGTCCCTACCCCTAAGAAACACAGTCCAGTGGAGGGAGAGAGATGTGAAAGTTGGCAGTTACACCTCGGTGTGATTAGAGCAGAAATGCTGGATATCTAGAGGAAGGGACGGGTGAGCCAGGGTCTGAAGACGGATCTGAGTTCGAATGGATCAGGGTCATGGTGCCATAGGCAGGAGAACCAGCAGGGACAGAGGACTGGAGGTGTGAGGCAGCCTGGCTGGAAGGAGGGCCAGGGGTAGCCGTGAGAGAGATGAGGTGTGGTGGGCAAAGGGGGCTGGGCTCCACGCTGGGGCCAGGGAGGTTTTAAGGCCAAGGAGGGGGATTTGACTGTCTTGGTTGCAGATGATAGGGATGATACAGGAGTTGGAGGTGGTGGTCCCCTCTCCACTTCCCTTCTAGGACACCCCACTACCCTGCCACGTGCCCCCAGTGGCAGGACACAGGGTTCCTGGAAGAATGGGCAGTGAGTTGGGGGAACTGGGGGTGCAGAGAGAAAAACGTCCCTCTTCTTCAAGTGAAGAGCATCTCTCAGGCTGCCTGTAGCCCTCCAGAAGCAAGGAATGGGAGGATGCAGGCAACTGCCTGGTGAAGCTGAGCCAAAGCTGAGGCCTACACTTGGACACCATTGCACCCTGGAAACCCCCGCACCCTGAGCTCAGTCGGGTGACCTCTCTCAGCTCCAGAACTGCCTAGCATCCACCATAAGAGCACCTGACAACCAAAGCCCCCCTGGGAAGGGAGCTGATGGGGTCCCAGGAGGCTCCGGAATAGGCGACCTGCCCCTCCCCCAACAACTGCAGCCCCCAGCCCACCCTTTTTCACCTGCAAAGCATGTGGAATGTATGGCCCAAGGGGCACTAGGGCACATAGAGAAGGGCTGGACTTCTGGACCCCTGGCACCGGGTAAAAGGCTGGAGATAGGACTGGGCATGGCCAGGACTCTGGAAGAAAGTGACCTGGGAGTACCCATAGGGATCATGGAGCCACTGTTACAGGCCAGAGAGGGTCATTAGCCCAGCCGGGGTCACACAGCATGTGCTGGGAGTCAGGGAGGTTCCAGGCTTCCAACCCAGGTTTCCACAGGGCACCAACCTCTGATCTCCCTCCTTACTGGCCTGGGTGCGGCCAAGCTTAGTGGTGAGGGGGTAAGTGCACCCAGCCACTCCCTGCCTGGCAGCCCTTGCAGGCCACTGTCCCCTGTGGCTTGAGTTTCCCATCTGTGGAGAGAGAGGTCTTGGACTGGCTTTCTGTGGATCTCCCTCCTTTCCTCCAACCCATATGTCAGCGGCGAGAGATAGACTCTGCACTGGAGCAGGAGCCACAGAAAGAGGCTGGGCAAGGGTGAGGGAGGTTGTCACAGGCCTCTTACCTTCCAGGTTGCACACGATTGTGAATCCCCATAGACCACCTGTGTGTGCGTGAGAGGGTGCCTGTAAGTGCAGAGGAACATGCCATGCAGCAAACACATACGTACATAGGTGAGTGTGTACCAGAGTGTGTGTGCACACCCAGCCCTCCCTGTCCACATGCACAGCGTGTCCTCCAGGGCTGGTGTCCAAGGCTGTGGTGATGGTGGGCCCGAGTCAGGCCTGCTCCCGCCACCTGCTCACGTCCCACGTCCCCGAGGAGAAGAGCAGCACTGCCTTCCTGCAGTCAAGGACTTTCATCCCTGCAATAAGCCCCACTTCATTCCCTTTTTAAACTGTATAATTTCTGCCTGATTGTAATGGCCTATTTTAAAATTACCAGAAATCAAAGCCGGGAAGTGGATACTGCAGCTTTTATTGCGTCTCTGTGTTAAGGCTGGCGACTGGGGAGGGGGCGGTGAGAATCACCTCCCCTCCCCTCCGTCCCCCACTTTCTCTCTGTCTCTCGCTCTTTTTTTTTTTTTTTTTTGAGACAGTAATAGGAGAAAATTGGTTTTGAAACTGAATAAAAGTCCCTTTCAGAGGAAATCATTTCTTTCAGGGTACCTTTGCTGAAAGTAAAATAGGGCATAATGAAAGGTGGTTACGCGATTGTCTTTCATTTACCGAGAGGCCAGGACAGACGGGAGGCTGCAACCGTCTCCGGGAAATACAAGATTGGAATAATTGCGCCGTAACAAGGAGCTTGTTGTGAAATTAGTATCTTAAGAAAGTAGTGAAAAAAGGCTTTTCCTCATGAATACTTCATTATTAGAAGAAAGCGGCAGAATTTAGGACTCCAGACACCTGTTCAGTATTAAATAACTTCCCTTTCTTCCCCTTCAGCACACACCCCCTCTGCTGTCTTTTTTAAAACCAACATGAAGATTGAGGTGACCTAGCTTGGCTGCTCAGGACTGGGGGGGGTGGTCAGGAGGTGGCGGGGACAGGGTGCCCAGGTGGATGGACATCAGGGGTGTCCAAGGTTGCGCTTACCCTGAGACCTGCCTTCTCCTTAGCAAGAAGGGAGGAAGGGACCTCTAGGTAAGCTCTCACCACCACGCTCCCATGGGGGCCTCACAGGCAGACCCACTCTGACCCTGCCGCTCAGGGGCTTCGGGCTCTCAGGAATGTGCCTGGGCGTCCTGAAACGTTCTCTGCAGGAGAGTGGGTTTGGGGAAGCTGAAGGCGAGTGTCCATGTGAATGTCAGGCTCTGGCTGTGGGGGGAGGTACCACACGGGCCTGTGTGCAGCCACATCTGAGCTGCTGCCCTGAGGGGCACAGGCCTCTGCCCTTCCCATTCAGGGTAAGGAACTTAGGCAGCGACAGGGATTTCAGGTCAGAGCAGCCTTGGTGGCCCATGAGGGCTAGGCTCAGGGTGCAGGGGGCTGTGAGGATACTCTGGGCGGGAGGACAGACCAGTACTGCAGTAAGCTGGGACACCCCCGTACCCACTGGCATTTCCCGAGCACCCCTCTGTGTAGACGCCCAGGATGACCGGGTGGGGTCTTCAGGCTGACTTGCTTACAGGGGGCCACCACCAGCTGGAAGGACAGCCTACTGCGGGGCATGGCGGGAGTGAGGATCTGACCCAGTTGGGGGCATCAAGGCAGGCCCCAGAGCAGGTGACCCATATGCCAGCAGGGCCAGGGCATGTCTGACCCATCAGTCCAGCCCACACTCAAGAGCCCTGGATTCTGTCCCTTCCCGTGAGGCCACAGATGGGCCTCTTGATGCCTCAGGCCTTGGTCCCCTCATTGGTCAAATAAGGGAAAAGGGTGTCTGCTTTGAGAGTCTCTGATGTTCTTCAAGGTTGCAGGGAGACTCCCAGTGGGGAATGGGGGGAGGCGAACATGGAGCAGCCCCCAAGTGACAGAGCACCCCATCTTCCTCCTGCAGGGACCCTGCCGCAGAGCGTGCCCCACTGGGGACCCCCAGCTCAGCCATGCTGGCCTGTCTGCAGAGGACCCAGAACCCCCCAGGCCAACACCTGGCCCGCCCGAGCAAGAGCCTGGAGCTACGCAAGTGTGAGTAGGATGCCTCCCCAGCCTTTGCAGGGCAGGTCGCGGGCACAGAATGCCATTTACCCCCGAGGACGTTCACCCACCATGGCCCTGTCGGAAAGTCGGTATGCTCTCTTAGGCCCCCAGGCCTTGGCCGCGGCTGTGCTGCCTTCCTGGTCTCGCTCTCCAAAATGACACCCACTCCTTTGGCCAGCTCCCGTGGAGCAAGACTGTCAACTCTGGCTTGACCTCCTTCCCAGCAGCCTCTTCTGACCACCACCATCACCACGCCCCAACCCGGCCTCTGCAACTTCACCACCATTATCTCGCCGTGTCTGTCTCCCTTACCACCATTAAAGTAGGATGACATGGAAACAAAAAATACAGAATGGGGTTCCCGCTTGAGGCCCATCAGCTGTGTGGTCTTGGGCGTTTCCTTCCCTCTCTGGCCTTGCTTTTTCACTGGGAGCTGGACCTGGTGACCAGGGGTCTGTTCTCACTATCTAGGACCAGGATCCCAAACACTCTGATTTGGTTATTTTTAGCTAGCATAATTTCTTTTTTAATGAAGTACTTAGAAATGAGATTTGCATTAAAATCTGGATTTCTAGTATCTCTTGAAAAAAACAAAAACAGAGGCTCTGGTAACATAGGCCTGTGTGCCTGTACTGCAGCTATGACTAGAGCTGAATGACTGCCTCTTTTAAAGGGATGTCTGTCTCCAGGTCACCGCAGTCCCCACCCCTCCCTATTGCTTCTGTCCTATAGCCCAGGATCTGTTGCCGTTTAGCATGATGCTTACGATGTGAAAATATTTTTTCTTTTAAGTATTTATCTTTAGACAAGGGAACACATTCATGTTATCCAACACTCGGAGGAAGGAAGGGGTATATAGACAAAAGCCTCCCTCTGAGCCAGCCACCCGCTTCCCTCGCGGAGGGAGTCCATGTCGTCAGCTTCCTGGGTGTCCTTCTAGATGTTTTATGGGCGTCCCAGCAAATACGTGTGGAGACGCATATTTTACACACTATCCTGCACCTCACTGTTTCCCTTTGTCATCTATTCTGTATATCAGCTTCTAAAGAGCTTCCTCATTCTTTCGCCGCATAGTTTCTCTAGCAGGGGTGGCCCATAATTTATTTGGCCAGTCCTCTATTTAGACTGTAACTGACCTGTTGCCGTTACAAGCAGTGCAGCAGTAAACCCTGGATGTGTCACGAGGATGTGGATAAAACTGCAGGGTACATTTCTGGAAGTGGAAATACCAGGTCAAAGGGATGTGTGTGTGGCATTTTGATAGCTGTGGTCTGATGGACATCTTTAGATGGTGTATCTGTGGACACCTCACATTGTGGTGTGAGGGTCTGTTCCCCACCCCTCACCATCACAGCATCATATCACACTTTTAGGTTTTGCTCACCTGAGCAGTGAAAATAGGATCACAGTGTGGGTTTTATTTTGTTTTGTTTTGTTTAGGGAGACAAAGTCTAGCTATGTTGCCCAGGCTAATCTCAAACTCCTGGCCTCACGCCATCCTCCAGCCTCTGCTTCCTGATCAGCTGAGATTACAGGCGTGAGCCACTGCACCTGGCTACAGTGTAGTTTTAACTTAGTTTTATGTGAATGAGGTTGAGTATCTTTTTGTGTCTATGCCATTTGTTTTTCCTTTGACTAATCTACTTATCTCCTTGGCTCCTTTTTCTTGGGGGGGTGCGGGGTGGTTTTTGTCCTTTTTGATTTGTAGGAGCTATTTGTATATTTGTATGTGATGGAATCATACCTCTGTCTGTGCTATGAGTTGAAGATGTTTTCCCCAGATTGGTTGTTTTTGATTCTGCCATGAAGGAGTTTTGTTGGGGAAGTGAGACTTATCCTTTTATGGCCTTTGGATTTTACTTAGAAAGCAAAATTCGGATCATACTTAGAAAGTCCTTCCTCAGGCTGAGATTATTATTTTTTAATTCCCCCAGGTTTCTTGTAGATCTTTGATGGTTTTTTG